GGCTGAGCACCAAAGAATGGAGGCCTTTGAACTCTGGTGCTGGAGAAGATTCCTGCGAGTCCCTTGGTCTGCCATCCAACCGGTCAGTCCCAGAGGAGATCAGTCCTGACTGCTCTTTAGAAGGCCAAATCCTGAAGAGGAAACTCAAGTACTTTGGCCACCTAATGAGAAGGAAGGACTCACTGGAGAAGAGCCTCATGCTGGGAAAGATGGCGGGCAAAAGAAAAACGGGACAACAGAGAATGAGGTGGCTGGATGGAATCACTGAAGCAGTCGGCGTGAGCTTAAATGGACTCCAGAGGATGGCAGAGGACAGGAAGGCCTGGAGGAACATTGTCCATGGGGTCGCAATGGGTTGGACACAACTAACAACAACTGCTAGATTGACAGACTGACTTTCAGAGTTTCACATACCAAGCTAAAGCACTTTGTGTGGCTGGAGTTATAATTTAGTCAGCTTTCTAATGTTGTGTTGCAGTTATTTTTAATGCTACAACCTGCCTACTATTACTCTTTAAAACATCTGCTGTATACTCTTTCCAGTAACATTATATACTGCTCTGAATATCTTGCATGAAATAAGTTATGAATATTTTCAACACATGCATTTTTCACACCATACCAGCAATTATTCTTGCAACAATATGACAATTACCAGAAGTCCAAAGAATTAGTCAAGAATTAATCCTTCAGACTAGCCTTGTCTCAATTTTTTTTTTAAAATGGCTAATTTTCTAATAGGTTGTACAAATGCTCTAATCATAATACATCCTACCAATGACGAAATATTCCATGACATCTCAATTTGCTATCTAGTTAACTGGACAATAAAATGAACACATGATCGGCTGTAAAATTGTATGCAAAAACTAATCTTCAGTGACTCCTTTTCACACCTGTGGCATGCTACGATATTCATTTTGTACCCTCTCTCCCACAATATTTTGTATTACTGACTTGGAGGAGGAAAATGCTTATCAGGTTTGCAGATGACAAAAATGAATAAGAGAGCCAATACTCTGTTTCAAAGCCGAAGAGCCAGCGCTGTCCGAAGACATCTCCGTGGTCATGTGGCCGGCATGACTCAATGCCGAAGACGCACGGAACGCTGTTACCTTCTCACCAAAGGTGGTTCCTATTTTTCTACTTGCATTTTTTACATGCTTTCGAACTGCTAGGTTGGCAGAAGCTGGGACAAGGAACGAGAGCTCACTCCATTACACGGCGCTAGGGATTCGAACCGCCAAACTTTTTGATTAACAACCCAGTGTCTTAGCCATTGATCCACCACGTCTCTTATAACAATAATGCGAACGCAATAAAGTTTAATTAAAAATATCGCAGATGAAGATTCTCAACCACATCTGATCTCTGACAGATTTTGCATTGTTGGCTAGTAATGCAGTATGAGATCTCCTTCTTTAATTAGTTCTTAAAATTACTCACCAGAATGTGGAGATCTGTATCGGAAGTCCTCTTTGGTTAGTAGCAAAAGAGCTTTGCCATTCATCTCAAAGGTATTGCTGTCAATGGTTCTAAGGGAGAACTCCTTCTCCGCCCACTTTAGCCATTGACCCACATCGTCTCTGCTCCAGTAGATGGGTTGCAAACCTGTAGAGAAATCAACAGAAGGATGTCAAGAAGATGCTTACAATCCCTTGGTGGAGGCCAGCAGGATGCAGAAGTGTGGAGAAGTGTGGGTAATGGAATTAGCATTTCGAAAGCACAAGTGTGCAGGTATGTGCATTAAGTTAGAGAAGCTAGAACTCATGGATCGGAGATATCCCGGTCTTCTTATACTAACCGCAACACAGTCACTGTAGATCAGTGGTCGCCAACCCCCGATCCACGGCGTGCCAGCAACTGCCCCTTGCAAATAAGCAAAGCCCCATCCGCGGGATGCAGACAGCATGCAAAACCACACCCCTGCCTATCCTTGGAAAAATCTTTCTCTACGGAATCGGTCCCGGGGGCCCAAACGTTTGGGGTCCCCTGCTGTAGACATTCATCTCCTCCATGTGGCTGCTCAATCTCAATCCCTCTCTCTCTCTTTTTTTGGAGCACGTGTAACTCCTTATTTCTGCAAATGCTACCTTCCACCTGATTAGACAAAGGACGAAGATCAGGGGTGTCAAACACGATTTCACTGACATCAGGGTTGCGTTTGACCTGGGGAAGGGGGGGGGCGTGGCCAGCTCGATGTAACCCGTGTGATCAAATGCCACTTTTGCTAGTAGTTCCTTTTGCTAGCACTCTGCCAGCAAAAAGGGAGCTCGTGAAGGCCACCTGTGGCCCTCCCAGGCTCTGTTTTCGCTGGCAGAGGGCTGCTGGAGGCTGTCGCAGCCGAAAACGGAGACCTGGAGGGCTGCACGTGGCCCACGCGAGCTCTGTTTTTGCTGGCAGAGGCACCACGGGCCGGTCCTTCTCCATTTCCAGGGCGGCCTCACTGGCCAGATCTAAACACTCTGCAGGCCGGATCTAGCCTGAAGGCCTGGAGTTTAACACCCCTGAGCAAGATCAAGGAACACGTCCCATACCCTCATAATCTGTCAGGAGAAAATGAACTCTGACTATAGATTTAGTCTATGCACTCTGCCCTTAGATGTAAGACTCAATCTTGGAACCACAAGAAACCCTCAGAGGATCAAGGGGAGGAGTCCCTTGCTTTCACCTGCGGGAAAGGAGACACAACCTTTCAGATTTGGGTTAATGTCAGGGTTCCAAATAGTATCCAAATGTAAATCAGAATCCAAGGCAAAATATTCCTCAAAGTTCCAATTTATTAAGAGAGCCATGTTGGCACATCTGGGAAAACCCGAATCTGAAAGCTTCCCAGTTTTCCCCACCAAGTTGAAAGTTCAGGATCTTGCCTCCCACACACCCACAAGCCCATC